CCCTCCCCCCCCCTCACAGCAGTTTGCCCCGTCCCTCCACCCCGCCCACTTCTACCCTCTCGACGACTACCGCCCCATGCCTCACCGCGTCCACGCTGACAGGCACTCTGGGTTCGTCTATCCCTCCCTCTCCTCCCTCCCCCCCGTTGACCGTCTCGTCTACTCCAGTCACCAATCCGACGACTCTGCCCACTACCCGCGCATGCACTCCCAGCCCACTCCCCCGCCCATCGCCACTCTCCACCACTCGCCCGCCATGTCCACCTCGTCCCTGGCTAGCTCCTCCATTTCTCCCTCGCCGCCGGTATGTCCTACTTTGGCCTCCATCTGATAGACGCGTGGTCTGACCATCCCGTGTGATATAAAGCTTCCCCAAACGGCCACCGGCTACTATCAGCACCCCCCGCCATCTGCCATGAGTGCGCCCGTACAGTACACGTATGCCACCAGCGCCACCATGGGTGCTCGGTATCCCAACGAGGCCATGAACCCGCCGCCACACCACTCGTCATCCCCGTACACGAATGCCGTCCACCAGGTGTCGACCCGGAACATCCGTCCCCAGTACGTCGCCTCCCAGCCGTACCCCGGCCAGCCAAACTACATCATCCACACCGATGATGCTGCGACCAAGCTGAGCGACCGCGTCCGCCGCAAGTGCTACAACTGCAGGACGACCGACACGTCCACATGGCGTCGCTCTAGCCTCACTCCCGGCAAAGTGGTAAGCCCATTTATGCCCGTGATCCGCCCTCTGCGATCTGATCTCTGTTCGCTCCGCAGCTCTGCAACAAGTGCGGCCTCTTTGAGCGCACCCACTCCCGCCCCCGCCCGGAGCAGTTTCCCCACAAGCGTGGTCCGCTCGTGACTGCGACGTTCAAGTCGTCGCGCACGCCCCCGCCGTCGTCGCGCCTGCCTCCCATTTCCGCGCACAGCTACCCGCTGCCGCCGCACCATGCGAATCACCCGTCGATTGCGCCGCTCATGTCGCGCGCCGAGCCCCAGCCCCAGCAGCAGCAGCAGCAACAGCAACAACAACAACAACAGCCGACGGCGTCCCCCCAAAACTACCACAATGCGAGCACGCTGCCCGAGATCCGCTCGCTGCTCAACACGCCTGCGACTGGGTCCCCCGCGTCGTCGCACGAGAGCGTCGAGCAGAGCCGCCCCGAGTCTCCCGCAGCAGGGTCTGGCAGCCCGAGGTCCGAGCGCCGGGAGATGCACTCGTATCGGTCGAGCAACTGAGCCCGTGAAGATTTATTTATGTGTAATTTGCGCGCGCCGGTGCGGCCGCACGCGATCCGCCTGCCCTCGCCTCGGTTTGGTAGAAAAAGTCCCTGTTTCTCTGTGACTGGACACTGCTTGGTAGAGTCCGCGTGGCGGGGCTGCGCCTCGTCTGGCGGGCGGCGCGGACGACGACGTGCTCGTACTGTTTTCTTTTGCATGCATGCTGCCTCTATATTCCCCCCCCTGCTCGCTATGCTGCTCATGTAAGATTTCTTGTCCTGCCCCATGTTCGGTGCTTGCTGCACTGTGCGTCCCGTTAGCGTAATGCGCCCGGTCTGATTCGCTGTACGCCAGGAAGTACTTAGGTCTTCTAATTCAATCAAAAGTGACAGCGACTGTTGGACGTGGCGTCGTAAGCCTACGGGTGACCGGTGCGGACCATCTGCAATTATGGTCGACAAGTCTAACCGCTGCGAAATGTTGGTGAATTCCAAAGTGCGCTCCGTCGCAACCCCAGGCCACTGCCAGGGAAGGTGGTAGGAGCACGCGTGGTGTCCAGCCGCATGCACCGTGTGCTTCCCCGCAAACTCTATCCGCTGCGTGAGGCTTCCCTTCTCGATATGGAACGCAGTGTGTATGAGAGTGCGCCCACTTGCATGCGCACCACCGTGGCGCTGCCTGCTGACGGACACACGGACCACCGGTCGCGCCGCCAGTGCGATGCGTGCCAACTCTTCCAGCGCCGGTGGTCCGTGACCGTCCGCCGCGGCTGGGGTCGGAGGACTGAGTAACGCGGAGACTTGTCGGCTGCCGACGAGCGACACGAACGAGAGCCGCACTCGCGACCGGACAGGCCCAACGCCAGACAAACTCCGGGCTAGTCGAGTATGGAACCCTCCCTCCTGGCAGCGGTCGCGCGGATAAGGGCCGAGCAAGACTGGACGAGCAGCTGACGAGAGCAGCCGCCGTGGCCCGCAGCGATGGGGCAGACTCGGCGATACTCGCTGCGAGATCTGGGCGGATGATGATGCGCCGCGACCGCGCCAGTTCGGACAAGACGAGCAGCATCACCAGCCGGGAACAGGACATCACGCGCCCAGTGGCGCCATGTCGCCTGGAGGCGTGTCCCAGGCCTCGACTGGAAGCATGACCGCATCAGGTCCGCATGATAAGGCCAGTTCTGCCGTAATGGCGAACAGAACCCGCCTTCTCCCGCGTCCATATCGCCCTCCCCGGCATCAGGGTCCTCCCCCCAGAGCCTGCCTGCAGCTGCAACGTATGTTACAGTCGAGACCAGCGCATCCTATTGACGCGTCCATGTCCACGGACATGGTCGCCCGTGTGGTCCACAATCACAATCTCCGTACCCCGCTCACCAAACAATTAGTCGTCCTCCCACCACCGAGCCCGTGGGGAGTATGCAACATTCAACTGCACCCGGTCGTCCGTTGACAAATTACAACATATTCATACGAACAATCAGTCAGATACATCTAGGTTTGATAATCCACCCACAGCTGATGGCGCACTCCGCAACCACCGAGCCAAGATACAGGACGCCGTACCTCACGACTGGAACTGCTTAGCCTGATTCTATCAGTCCGTGGCCAGCCCCATTCATACATGTTGTATTCCCTGATTCCGTGGAGGTCAGCCCATCATCACCGTATAATTAATCTCAGAAGCCGAGCCGGCTTGACGTCCATATCCAATGCGCACACATCCAGTAAAGTATTCAAAACGGCGAAAAACTCCGCCCACCTTCCAGGGATGCGTAGTCATGCACTACCTCCCAGGTGATCATGTATACTCGCCGCAATCTCCTGCCAAGTAACCGATCCCCCGCCCGCACAAGTGGCGAGTCTTTTGTTTCTAAAAGAAACGAAAACCCTTGGACCAGTGCCGCGTAAAACATCTGGAACGTGTGTGATCTAGTTGGCAGTGAGCAATATACCTTGTGCGATGCGATGAACCCAATCACTGTGCCACTAACTGATTTCGTCCATGCCCTTGCATTTTTCCCAGCGAGTACCCAATCGGTTGTGATGTAGTCGCCGCGCAGATTGAGATCTGCTCTCGTTGGCTCGTTGGGCGGAGCAATGATGGCCAGCAGTGACCGCGACGTAGCCCAACAGCGCCACTAGAGCGGCATACAACCCATTTGTCCATGTCACAAGATGACAGCGAGTCGACTGGTCTGTTGCTGACATCAACATACTGCGCACATCGGCTCTACGACTTTGTCTGATCCCGCATCTCGATAGGTCCCCCCTGCTCACGTCAAGCGCACGACGGTCGCGTAAACCAGCACGGGAATGGCGATTGGGCTCGAGCATCGGAATACGCATCTGACAGATCATCTTCCCGTGAGCCACCTGCATCAACTGGGTCGTGTCTAAACCTTGAATGATATGATGCTCATCGGGTGTTTGCGGGCGATGGACCAGAGTAGCGCGACGTTCAGTCGCAATCTTGCCCACTGCTTGGATGATAGATACACACTCACGATGCGGAACCACGAGAACGTGAAGACAAGGACTCTGGCATTCTGTGCACGTAAGTAGCGCGCTCTTCGGAGGAAGTGCAGGTAAACATTCCCGCAGGAGCTCATCGTCGTGCCATTACCAGACCTGTGACCGTGAAATCATATTTATTTACCACCAACATCTGTCAAACATGCAACACTGATCTTGACACTCACCTCCATCCAACAACCTGCGGTTCATATCTGGCAGTCTTTGACTTGCTCACACACATACCCATCACACAGAAGAAATAGAGTTCAACACCATGGATTGTTCACTACCAGTGCAAATACAAAATGGAGATGTCCCCGGAGCTGATTAGTCGCTAGCTAGTAAAGCACAAGCAAAACGACATGCCCAGCTCCCGAATCACAAGATCATTTTACTCGACGTTTCTCCCAACAATGGGCAGAATTGCAGCGAATGTCCTCGAAGCAAGCAAAAGCGTCTTCGTCGCCAATTTCAAGTCGAGATGACTGTAAGGAGAAAAACAGAACCGCACTATGCGCCCTCTCTTATGGCTGGCGCGCTTGGTCCGTGCGCGGGAACGTCCGGGCTGATATATCAGCGCTCGAGCACAGGGCTTTTTTTTTTTCATCGAAAGTTACACCTTGCGATATTTGGGATGCTCTTGCTCTGTTGTTTCGTTCGTCTCAGCAGCTACGAGAGGATCTTGAACCATACGTGTAGGGAGAGCAACCTCTTCATCTCAAGATCGTGCCAACGTTCTCTGAAGTTGGTTGCGGCCCGTGTTGGAGAAATATCTTGTTCATGTACAGTTCTCGGGTGTCGACTGGACCAATATATCTTCGTTTCTCGATATACCCCGAGTGTCGCACAAAGGACAAACGTGGCATCGTGTCGGTGAGCAATGCGCGCAAGTATTTCATTTGTGGTTCGCTGCGTATCCTGCTGACGGGTTGGTCATACAGCTCTGCGACTCGAAAGCAAAAGAACATGATATGTTGTATACGCGACAACTGATACGTCAGCAACGTGACGTTCATAGTTACAACTTATAGACGATGCGCTCAAATCACAGCGATAAACCCTAACATCGTGATGGGGCTGGTGCTGACGAGCCATATTCCGGGGAATGTAGTGTTCATGAAAATCCGTCCTGCTGCGCACGAGGGGTCAAGAGACGTCCATTGGCTTTTTGAGATCGGAGTACTGCGTCCAACGCTTGCTTCCAGATTCACGGTAGACCCGAACGTTGCCTGTACAGAAAAGGCCAACCCCCGGCGACACTTTACCGATGCCTTATATGATTTGGCATCTGTTTGTCCGATGGAAAAGAGCGCAGCCGGTGAGCCTCGAAGTCAAGTGCGGTATATTGTCTTACCTGTAATCCCAGAGTTCCATCGCCTCTAAGCGTACACACGGTCAAAGTTCAATCCCCTCTGGAATCTCTGCGATGCTCATGCAGCTTCTCCATTTAAGCTCTTGACATTCGCTGCCCAGCCCAGTCCTATTTCCTGTATCCCTCTGTGCTTCTCTCCTCGGCTCCTGGGCTGGCCTGCATCCTAGAAATCGTGTTTATTGATTCCTCGGAGCGTGCATTTATTTGATCATCCTTTTGCCACTGGGGAGCTTGTTGCCGCTATTGATGTGTAATGTTGCTTTCGTCACATGGGAACCGACCCTGTTCGGATACAGCCTGAGCTCTATTTTATCGCGTACGGCCAATTATATAAAAATTGCATCCAGTTAACTATCGTACACAAAATGGAATTGTCCATTATCCACAGCAATACTGCTTGAACCGGGATGAATGGCACTTTTCACCACCCAATTGAGACAAAACTCGTGCGTGTGGGTAGGCTGTCGGTTTGACGTTAGGAGCACTCGCAATTACTGCTCGTTGACAAAAACGGCAGCCATGCCCATGCCTGTTCCTATACACATGCTAGTGACGAAAATTTTGCTATCCGTCTGCTTCGCAATGTTGAATCCTGTCGCGACTTGGCGCGCACCAGCTGCGGCATGACAAGCCATGAGTCAAATAGTGTGACATGATGGACATGCCACTCACTGCATCCGAGAGGGTGGCCAATAGCGATGGCGCCTCCCCATACGTTTACCTTCTTCTGGTCGATGCCGAGCTCTCGCACGCAGTACAACGCCTGGCTCGCAAATGCTTCGTTGATTTCGAAGAAGTCGACATCCTCCTTTTTCAGTCCCGTCTTCTCGAGTACCTTGGGGATGGCGTAGAGGGGTCCGACTCCCATGATGCGCGGCGGGACGCCAACGGCCACGCCTGCGACATACTTTCCGATAATGCGAAGCCCCAGACGTACGGCAACGGAGCGCCGAGCGAGAACCACAGCAGCCGCGCCGTCGGATACTTGCGACGCATTCCCTAAGAGCGATGGGTACATCACATCACAGAATATAGAGTGAGGCACAAACGACCACTTACCTGCATGCGTACTACCATCCTTTGTGAATGCAGGCTTGAGTTTCGCCAAGCTCTCTGCGGTAACACCGTCTCTCACGCCATCGTCATGTTCAACGACGAGCGTTGTCTCCTTCTCAGTTTTCGGGTCGACCCAGGACACTTCAAGGGGGATGATCTCGGGAGCAAAGCGTCCTTCTTTCTGAGCCTTCGCAGCTTTCTGGAAGGATGATGCGGCGAATGCATCTTGATCCGCGCGGGAGATGTGGAAGTCGGACGCAACGTTCTCGGAAGTGATGCCCATAGGAAGAAGGCAGTCCTCTGCGAGCGGATGCGAGAGGACCGCCTCTGAAAAGCCGTCCGGATTCACGCCAGCATTGTATCCGAATGTCATAGACTCAACTCCAGCACCTGCATGAGAGACAATATTATGTTTGCGAGACGACATAAAGCGAGCCACAGGAGGCAACTCACCAATGCCGATGTCGATTTGGCCGGTCGTGATCTGGGCAGCGATGGCGTTGACAGCATGGAGGCCGGATGAACACTGCCTGTTGACCGTGCTCACGGGGGTTTCTGTTGGGATGCCCGCATGCAACGCAGCCATGCGAGCAGCGGCAGCGCCGCCTCCCGCTGGAAGAACGTTGCCGATACAGATATCTTCAATGGCTGCAGGATCAAGGCTGGCCCTTGTGTATGCTGCACGAAGGACGCCAGACAGAATTTCTTCTGGCCTTGTGTCTTTGAACCCTCCCTTCTTTGACTAAATCCCTACGTCGTCAAAGCCATTGCTAGTGGGACGCGAGGACAAAAGCGCACCTTTGTGACCGCAGAGCGGACGGCAGAGACGATAACAACGTCATTGTCGTGCTTTGCAAGGACGCTGGCCTTGCCGGAGGACGAAGTAAAGTTAGAGATGGCTTGGGTGATGACTGACATGGTGGATGCTCAGAGGAGAGAGATGAACTGAGCCTTGAGCGTCTCCACTGTGAAATGCTGATCGTGCTGACCCTTGCGCGTGTTTTTGCCCCACAGCCGGGTGCATCTTTGCTCCGACGCCGAGCCATTCGGTCATCTCCCGAGCCATTCGAACCAGCTTGATGATCACTGTCGCTCTCCGTTAATTACTCTCGTTGTACTACTCATTTCCCTACGTTAAACTTGATTGTGTCATCAAATTCAGGGGTAGAAGGATTGGGTCTTGAAATGGCCCATTAATTTGTGAGTATATCATGAAATATCAATCATAACAAGCACAAAAGGTCAGAACTTGACCAGCCTGTTAGAATGCAGATCTGGGTCATGAATATGGCTAGGAAAGCCACTCCATGGCAATCTCTACCATGATGTTTTGCTAGCAATAAAGTCTAATGACTTGATCAACAGCTTGTCATTGAGATGGGTGTCTAATGCAACAAGGGCATCAAATTGAAACCATCTTTTATATAGGCCTTCTACTACTAAGCATCTCATTTTCATCTGAATTTCATTCTGCTGACCACTGTATTGTAGACTTTAACCAATGCCACATCACTATATTCTGCTATTCAGAGCTAAGGACTAAAACACAGAATATGCAGTGTTGTGTTGCTCAACTTCCTTTGGATATCTGGGATATTGAAATATAAATGTGGCCATAAACCTTACCTGTGTTGACTAGACACAAGGCAAGTAAGAAGGCTTTAAGAGTTGTTTTATATGTCTGTGAAGACAATAAGACAAGGATGAGAGAGAGAGAAAAGCACTATCATTAAGCATTCTACCTAGGGGTTTATACACAGGGAGAATACTACATGTACAAACAATTTGATAATAAATCTAAAGTGGTGCCATACACTAATTATGAGTTAGCTGCCTAATGAGGTAGTAATCTCCAGGAAGCTGACAACAAATGTGTAATATCTGCTAACATTGTAGAATAATAGATGCAGCTAGATCCAGCCAAACTCTTCTAGACTCTGTCCAGAATCTACTAGACTCAGTCTAGACTTTGTAACTATATCTGGTTCATCAGATACATCAGATAAACAATTGTGTGTCTTGATAAGATTAGATCAACTAATCTACAGTGTCTGTTAAGGGACCTAATGACTGAGGATCAGGAGTTCGACTGTTTAACTGTACTAGGACTAATTGTTACAGCTTGAAGGGGGGGGGGTTTCTTTTCTTTCACTAACTATTCATCGTTGACCCTGTACCATACTACTGATCCCATCACTTGATACTTCATCACCATCAAGTGTTTCATATCTATCACCTGCTACTTGTCTCCTGTCTTACTTACATCACGTTTCATGCCTATCATATTTCATTTCTATCACTGATACAACACAGTGACATCTGTCGTCTGTACATT